GGACGCGTTTTGGTGAGCTAGCTCCCAAAGGCAAAACCGTGAGGGAATGATCTGGTGTATACCCAAAGCGGACAATATTCTGTAGCGGGTTAGATGCTGGGCTGTTACAATTGTTACTATCTTGGAAGAGGTCATCAGTGTTCAACTTTTTTGCTACTAGCTATTTATTACTATAATAAATTCATCCTCCCTCGGCGAAAATGTCGACGTTCAGCCAGTGAACACGTCTTGTCATATCGAGTTAGGGATAGACTCCCCCATAAGCTCAATTACATGCGAAAGCTGATTGACGTGAGCGACCCAACATGTGTCGAGAACCTTCGTATGGATCGTAACTCCTTCAGCCATTTATGTTACCTTCTTGAAAGTTTTGGGGGACTTACTCAAGCCAAAAATGTTCCACTTAGGCAGCAAGTTGCAATTTCTCTCTGTCCTAGCTTATCATAAGAAAAATGTCACTTTGAAGCTTTATTTTGTAAGAACCGGTCAATCCATAAGCAAAATACTTTAACCATGTTCTTAATGTTGTCATTCGACTTCACCCCATCAACTCAATTACATGCGAAAGCTGATTGACATGAGCGACCCAACCTGTGTCGAGAACCTTCGTATGGATCGTAAATCCTTCAGCCATTTATGTTACCTTCTTGAAAGTTTTGGGGGACTTACTCAAGCTAAAAATGTTCCACTTGGCGAGAAAGTTGCAATTTATCTCTCTGTCCTAGCTTATCATAAGAAAAATGTCACTTTGAAGCTTGATTTTGTAAGAACCGGTCGAACCATAAGCAAAACACTTTAACCGTGTTCTTAATGTTGTCATTCAACTTCTCCCCATCCTAGTTGTGCAACCAAAGGCAATTGACGCGGATTGTTCCGATGAAAGGTTGTAACGCCGCTTTGTTTAAAAAGGAGAAATGTTGGATTTTTTAAAAAATTGGAATAAATTTTCGAAAATAATTATCCAATTTAAAACCATTTAAAAGGGGCATTACTCAACATCAAACAACCATGCTCACAAGATACACTTAGGCAAACAACATTTCCATATCAGTAATCGAGATTTAAACTAATATCCAAAAAGATTAATTTCGATCATAAGTTATACCATAATAATAAATTCAAATACTCAATGACATAAACTCGCATCATAACCAAGCGTACTCAGTTCAACATATCCAACATACAAGTTTTGGAAATAAATAAGCAGAATCAAGCAATTCATAATAACAATAAATATGACCCCACTCGCTCGTCCTTTGCCACGACCACCAGCTTAACCTGAAAAAGATGAGAATAATGGGGTGATCAAACAACAAGCTCACCGTGGGAATACTACGCGATATATTTCAGATAATAAATCATCACATCTACCTCCTACCCTGCCTATGCTCATATGTACACACTCTTGCACGGGACCCAATTAATGGGTACGCCCGAAGGGAGATACACTCTCCTTGGGTAACTATGGGAGGAGCTGTCGGTACGCCCAACATGAGATATGCTTTTAATAAACTGACGGTTCACACGCATACATTGATTATGGAATCACTCGGTTATAAGAAAAAAAATCATAGTAAGGTTTATCAACATCCACATATTCCGACGACAGAAAGATATCACACAAACGACTCGGTAGGTCGGTGAGGCTTGACTTCGCAGGAGCCTACATTTAATCTAGATAATATCACATAATTAATTATCTCGATAACTCAGAATTTCAACAAAAATTCATACTTAATCGAATATTATCGATTCAGGAGTTTGTGGAAATTTTGTGGAATTTGGAACTCTCGGAATTAAGGGGAAAACTTGGAAATAGCTCTAAAAAGGCTAAAAATGGTTTCGACATGAAAAACGAGATCAACAACTCGAAAAACTGTCAAACGAATCGGGAAAATGGATTTCGAGGTCACGACATAGGCACAGGCACGGGCAGGTCTGGGGCTGGCAGCTGGTGGCTGGTTAGGGGTTGCTGGGCGTGTCCAGGTGCAGTTGGGTGTTGCTGCTGGGGGCGGCTAGGGCTCGCCTGGGTGCTGCTGAGGGCAGCTGGGCTCGTCTCAGCGCGTTGGGGTGTTTGGCCGAGAGTGCCTGGTCGTCAGGGCTTGCGGGAGCTTAGGTGCAGACGCCTGAGCGGATGCTGAGGTGTTCTTGGCGCACTGCAGCGATGCGGGATGACGTGCGAGCGATAGCTGCGGCACGCCTGACCTCTGCGGGTCTCAACTCGAGCACGACGAGTACGCCACTACTGCGTGTTGAATGCGGCATGTTGCCCGCGCGCTGAGACTCGCCAACTTGATGGCTGTCCCGAGGCCACTCGCGGCTGCAGTTCCCTGACCGAGGTTTTTGGAGTTTAGCTCGGGGTAATTAAACGAGATTTCACCACGTTCAAAGACATACAAAAAGGGTCTTAAATACTAAGTTTGGGCCACAGAACATCTCTCAATAATTTTATACAAATTTTTTAATAAAGAGGCATGAGAAGGGTTTCAAAACAACCTCAATGGTCACCAATAATATCTAAGCATAATAGCAAAAAAGGGATAACAATTAGTTCCAGATCCCACATACTCCACCAGATATCACAAGATTTCAAGATCTAATAATTTTTTTCCAAATATATCAATAGATCTCAAATTCTTGAAATTAGATCTAGCACCAAGGCAAAATAGATCTAATCAATTAACACGAAAGACCAACAAACTAGGGGGAATCAAGCCTAAGTACCAGAATTTTGGAATCTTCAAAACGATTCAAGGCCAGATCAGAGTGGACAAGGCCTCAGCGTGGACAAGAGCTCCTCAACGGTTGTGCGCAGCTCGTCCCTTGTTCGAACTCAGGCAGAGGCTGCTCTAGGACATCCTTGGTGCCTGCTCGTCGGCGTGGAGGATTGCTCGGAGGGGACGGTTGATGAGGAATCTTGTTTCTTGCCTTGTTTGTGAATAAATGCGGACTAAGGGCCTTCGTTTAAACACGATAGGTTGTGACGAAAGGCGCTCTACGGCCTTCTTCCGAACACAGTTGTATGATAAACACACACTAACAGTCTTTTCTAAACACACGAATGAACAAACGTTTTTTTTCTATTAACTTCTTCATATCTTAAAACAATGAGGGTATGCGCCTATTTGTAGGCTCCTAGCAAATCTAATATTAAACCATCCTAGATCACTAATTAAAGCAATAAAATATTGAGTCCTAAACATTCTAGAAATAATAAAGCAACAAAGAAACTTTCTTGCTTGCTCATCAAGTCGGTCGCCCTCAACCCTAGCCGCCCGCGTGTCCGCGCCACAAGCCTAGTCCTCGCCGGCCTTGGTCTCGCGCGCGCTTCCGCTCTACGTGTCGCCCACTGTGATCGCCGCGTGCCCGCGTCCTCGCCACCTGTGCGAGTGTTGCGCACGCCAATCCCCTCGGCATCCTTCTCGCGCTCTTCATCACTTCGCGCGCATCACTGCCCGACGCGCGTTGCCCCTGCTCAATTGCGCCGTCCCATGTGCGCATTGTCCACCCAACATCCTCCCTCTGCGCACCGTCTTTCCTAGCCTCCGTGCACTGCACGCGCCGTTCCCACGTGCACGCCTTGCACAAGTCGCCCGATCCTGATACCGAGCACTCGGCCCTATTCCATTGCGCGTAGCCTTTCCTCAAGCGCCCTAAGCCTGCGCGCCTCTTCGTTCGGCTATCACGTCTTGACGGTACCGTGCGTCCGCCACGCGCACGTCTCTTTATGCGTGTTTTCGCCCTTCTTCCACAGCCTCGTGGCATTCTCGCTTACACGCGAGTCAATCCTCTTGGTCTTCATAGGACTCGTCCTCGGACTCGGAGGGGTCGATGACCACATCTTCATCAACGGTGCGCGATGAGGTGTGTTGTTGGGCGACCGGACATGCGTGGGTTGATGCATCGACAAGAAGGCTCACGCGGACTGAGGGTGGACAGAGGCGATGCGACCGGGCCTGCTGGGCGACCCAGATGTGCTGGGACCTGCGCGTGCGGTTGGCGCGGCCTGGAGGAGTTGGCCGCATCGGTGCGGTGGACAGAGGGCCGAGAGGAATTTGGAGGGGAAGATGGCAATTTTCTTCAGTTTTACTTGAGTTTCATAGTGTTTATGAGAGACAAAGGGATCCGGCTAGTGAGGAGGAAAAACCGTGTGCAATAGAGAGAATAAAAGAGGATTTCTCTCCAAGAAAACCAAGGATACTAAATGCCATAATTAGAAGATGTAATGGCACATAATAAGGCTCTCATGGCCGGATATTAGGGGGAAAAGGAGCTGGTCCAAACCTTCCTTACTTAACCTCAATATTTGAATTTTAGAGGCAAAAATTCGAGCTAAAAGCAATCTAAGGCAGAGGAGATTTTTGCCGTTGCTTAGCCGGTTCCTAGGCTCTTTTGGGCAGAATTAGACAAGAAAAACTTGGGCTAAAAATAAAATCTCAAGGTTCAGATAAAATGCTTCAAAAACGGGTCGAAACGAATCGAAAATGGTTCTACGCGATTGAACCGAAAATTATCGAACGAACTAAGTAATAAATAAAATTAATTCAAGCAATACACAACATAAAAATAAAAATGTAAAAGCGAGCACATAATGATATAAGATAATGCAATTATATCAACGAGACAATCACATAATGAAAATCAAACACATAATAATACTGAAGTCAAGCGACAATAAAATAATAGCAAAAATTATATAAATGCAAGCAAATAAATAATAAACACAAGAAATCATATAAATCGAAAGGAGCGCTACAATCTAGTCTCTTAAGAAGATTTCCATCCTCGAAAATAGAAAAGTTAAAAGAAAGAACGAGGTACAACCAAGGACAAGGGAAAGACTCAGTCATTCCCCCAAGTCGCATCGCCCTCGCCTGGTGGTTCCGCTGGACTTTGACGAGTACCCGTCCCAGTTCTTCAATTGATGGACCCTCTGATCCAACAGGTCACCGGTACCACAACACAGGTAATATTCTGCCCAACATGCAGCTCGTCAAAATTTACCACGTGCCCGGGGATCATGCACATAACTCCTCCACTCGTGGTGCACACATCTCCTCTACTCGAGGTATAACATGCCGCGCACTCCCGAAAGCTCCGGTGGTAAAGCCGACCGTTAGGTTACGACAACAACCGAACTAACCAAAGTTTTATAAAATTACAAAGCAAAAATCAACTTACTAATGTAAAAATCCGAACAGAAATTTGTATTTTGGTCGTGTGTGGTCAGTTGGTTTTCAGTTTTGGTGAAACTTTAGATCACCATAATTCTTTATCTTTCCCATATATTTTAACACACTCACCTTCAATTGGAAGTGTGCGCGGATCAATTTTCATTGAACATTCTCTAATATTTCAAACCTGTTTGCACTAAGTCAGATAGAGGAATTTCGTGTATACTAATGGCGGAGTTAAGCTTGGGCATACTCATCGACATCGTCGACGAGGAATGGATGAGAGATGCGCTGCCGGATGACGGTGATTTCTTCATTCCCGAAATTAATTAATTTTTACCTTATTATTATTTTTGTTTGTTTTTTCTTGTTGATTTATGCTCATTTCCTCGGTATGATTGAGATTAATTCGTTTGCATTAGGGTTTAATTAGTAAATCTTGCACCTGTTTTTGTATTTCTTTATTCAGATCTTCCATTGCCGCCTGTGCTTGCTTCCAGAACCGATGACACTGAAGATTCAAGTATGTTCACTCTCTACATTTCCGTCTACTTAATTGTGATCTTGATGGAAGTTAAACTTGATTAGACTTTAACGAATTTTGTTTTGTTAAAAACTAAGAACTGCAAAATCTTGGTTGAAGATATTTTTTCAATGGTTCCCTTTTTAAAGGAGTAGTTTGTAGAGCTTGGCGACATTTCAAGGGTATTTGTGATTTAAGTGTTTGCAGAGATGGTTGTGATTATATTGAACATCATATCATGACCATCTTCTATAGTTAACATGAGCATAACTTTTCAGCACATTGTGTGTTTGTTTCAAGATTTGAGAAAATAATTTTTCCTTTTGCTTTTTGCCCTTCCTTGCGATATATGGATTTTGCATATTATGTTATCGTTACTAGAAAACGTCAAGTAGTCAGAATTAATCTTGATCCCCTTTGATATTGAAGATTATTCTGTTATCTTACTATCATGGTCCTTGTATAACTAGATTTAACTTCAGAAATTCAACGATGTCTTTCACTCATCTGTTTTTATCTTCTGATATCTAATATATTTGGAGCATATTCATTCAAAGAGGAGATGTTGCATTGCAGAATATATTGCTTCAAGAATCGACCATATATTTTGCTTTCCTTGATCTCTTCTTTTCAAGGATAAAAGTATAAGACGGATCGAGTCGTGCTTTCTATGGTTTAACAATGAATTTCTTTTTTTTTTATTTTTTTTTTTCAGACCAAGAACCTCCCCCAGTTGAGGATGATGCGTGGCACGATCTTGCACTGGGTAACCACCAATGAGAGATGTCACATAAAATTGGTTCTGTTGGATTATACTGGGAATTATTAGCATCCAAATAATTCTCTTGTTTTATCAAATACATTGCTGCCTGCATAAACTTGGTTTTGATCGGCTGTGAAAAACTAGAGCTGGTTTCTTTTCAATTCCAACAACCTTGAGATGGAAATATGATTGCAATGGAATATTTTCGTTATCATGTTGCTCAGTATATATTGGTGTGACATCCTCAAGCGTTCTTTAGTAGAGTTTTCCATGAGAAAATGACCAAAGAACATGCACGCATATTGTTTTGATTGATTTCCCCCTTGTGTAGTTCTCTTATTTTGTCATATAGCTCACATTCAGTCATCTTAACAAGTCTTACTAACCATGCTCGCACTCGTTTTTATCGAGTTAGAATGTCATTATTATCGAGCTGAGTATCGAATAGTACATAGCTGGAGAGGTTCACTTTTGAAACACAAGTTGAGTTCAAGAGAAACTAATATAACGGATAAAAGACAATATTATTTCCTTCGAGTGTTGGTAAACTTTCTGTCTATTAATAAAATTTTATCGTTTGTTATTAAAAAAAAAGGTTGGTTAACTCGTCAACCAGTGTTCATCTTTCGCAAAAGAATACTCTATGATACAAGTTACACAGCCATTTGGAATAATTATCAACATATAAGATTGCTACACGAAAATATAATCAAGTTTTATAGAGAGAATTTCGACTAGGTGTTTCATTAAAAACCCATATTATACCTAAAACAGAAAACTGGGAAGGCTTGTTGGGTAGCAACAGATTGTTAGATGCCCAAAAACGGCGCCAAGAAAGAAAAGGCCAACTAATAGCGTTAGAACCGATCTACTTCTTTTCTTTTCTTTTTCTTTTTCCTGATAATAACGACCAAGGACTTATCTACCTAAGATTAAGTGAAAAGGGAGAAAAAAAAAAAAAAAAATGCTTGATGCTTAATTTTGTGGGGAGGTCTCAGGTGCACTGGCAGGTGAGGCATCAGTAGAGTTGGCACGTTTTAGCAACGAAATGATTTCTGCAGACTGAGGAAAGTAGGAATATGCAACAAATGAAGCACCAATCGTGATTGACAGACCCATGAAGCTCCATAGCCACCTCCGCCGTCTGTTTTTCCTTTCTTGCTGTCTACGTGCAACCTCTGCAAGGGGAAAAAAATTAGGGAAAACCAAGCAAATAAATCAAAACCCACGTCACAAATTACTTATTTAATAGGTAAAACTACAAAATTGGCCTTGTGGCTTATTAGCTTAATTGCAAAAAATGGTCTTCTTTGAAATCAGCTGAATATCTCACTTCAGGTTGGCGTTTTCTCTACTAATTAAGGTCTCAGTTGGGGGCAATGCGTGGAATTACTAGATAATGCAAGTTTTCGAGATAGCCGGATTTTGTCATTTAGGCTATAAACGCCATAGGTGATAGCAATCCCTATTGTGTTCCAACATCATGATTTTCAAGACCAGATTTGAGAATATGATAACATGTAACAAGAATCATAGGGTATTATTACGAGTTCCTTCCAACAGAAAAAAGGCCTCAAAGAAACAGGACTAAAGCAAAGAATAATAATACAGACACGTAAATGTTGTTTTGCCAACGTCACAAGATCAGAAGATCACTGGACCTGAACACACAATCTCTACAATAGCAATCCCTTCCCCTTAATCCGAGAAATCAGATTCAATTGTTATTGAACTTAGAAACAAGAGAAACAATATTAGAGGAACATAAATGAATTGACGTTTGGTGTCTTTTAGTTCTTTTGGTGTCTATAGAAACTCCTGGTTCATAAAATCAACTTTCACCATGTCCATCTTGTGCTTGTCGTTTTATTATATTAAAGGACAAAAATGTCTTCCATCCTATGCTACTTCAACAACAAAGACAAGATCCCACTACCAAGCAAACTAACCAAAAAACGCGAAACGTGCATCCCTCCCTCTTCTCAAAACACAACCAAATAGACCAAAAAGAACTATTCACTGAGGGCATTAATTTACGCACACACTGAGACATGTACTATTATTTTCTGAAGTAGTCCATGTATTTCCAGTGAAGAACATCAAATTACCAATGATGTACTCCCCCTCCCCAACCCAATTATCAGTTTCTGGAGGAGGGTGGCTATGAACTCTAATTGTTCCCTCCAGTTTTATTTTAAGTTTAATACCATATATATGAAAACAAAAGTCTCGGCAATAACATATTGAGTAGTAATCGCTCTGTCAACAAACAATCAAGTGAAAAATGCAAGGTGCACCTTTTGTGCAAGAGATATTTCAAGTATTAAGAAGGTAAAAAGGCATGTAAAATATACCAACAAGCTTCCTCTGGGACATTTCATGGTTAACTGTCTCATAGTACTGAAGCCTGTCACGCAACCGTGATATCTCCTGATCTTTCATTTCAATTACCGCCAAAGCCGCCTCCTCAGCTTCAGCATGTGCTTCGCCCCTTCCAATTGCTTCAGCAACAAATCTGCTTACAACAACTTCCTGAGAAATTTGGTCTGTTAAATTGTTATCCAGCTGGACGATATCATTAGCAACTGGAGGAGCAGGAAATGTTAGACCAGCTTCAGACATAAGGTCCCTGATCCTCTCCCACTGACTGCGCATCAACGCAAGATTCTCCTCTACGGTCTTTCTCTTCTCGATTTCTTCAAGAAGATTAAGCCTTGTGGCATGCAATTCCGATTCGAATCTAGAACCGCATGTCAGTTCATTTGAAACAGAGCTATCTGTGGAGAAATCTGTTTATAAAATTTCACGGTGTGTGGTCAGAACATAAAGTTCAAGGTATATGCAATTTTTTTTTTTTTTTTTTTTTCTAATTGCACTATATAAAAAAAAATAAAATAAAATCACATCCAGGTATCAACGTTAACATTGAGTTTAGCATCACAACTTTCCCAACAAGAAATGGATATAGACGAGAGATGAGAGGTAACACGGTTGGTGAAACAAGTACTTAAAAAGGCAAACACCAGCCAAGAATAAGCTAGATAGCATCTATCATCTTATTAGATTACTTATGTTTCCTCGCAAATAACACTACTGCCCAATGATATCAATTCAAAATTTTCAGCTGCTAAGTAGCAAGTTTAGTAGTTAAAACAATGCTGTTCCCACACATAACATTCAGCAGCATAAACACCAGTAGCAATAATATCATATATAACTAATTAAAAATGGATTCCCCTCCATCTCCATTTTATAAGCATAAAAAAGTTATGAAGAACCTGACACACACACACACACACACAAATACACACATATGGATGTCTTTTCTTTCTTTTTTTTTTAAAAAAAAAAAAAGAAAGACAGCATATTAGCAGAGAACAACGATGAAAAGAAAAACGAAAAAAAAAACCTTCAATGGCGTCGAAAAATTCCCCTTGAGCAGAAACAAGGCTGCGGGTTTCGATTTGACTGGTGTCGAAATCATTAGCCTCGTTCTCACTCCCCACGCTCACCGCTTCACTCCACCGATCGAGAAACCCCTCGTCCTCTTCACCAGCTTCAACATTTCCAACATCTACCTCATCCACTAAGTCCTCCTTCACCCCCTTCAAGCTCAACACATCGGCCTCGCCTCCCGACGGAAATTCCGGAGCTCCGCCCGTTCCCGCGCTCCCTGCACGGCGGCGCTTGAGATTGACCACGTAAGGAGACGGGGACGGCGGGTGATCGGGTATGGGAGCCTGATCCGGAGTGGCGTAGAGACCGGGCGATATGTACAGGTGTTTCGGACCCGCTTTCACCAGGTCGGACTCGTCGCGGTCCCCATGAGAGGGCTTCTTGTGAGTATCTCGAACTCCATGTTCGAGTAGGTTTTCCAAGGCGATGCTGGTGAAGGTCGGCATGGTTTTCAAACGGATCGATGCAGGGATTTATGGTTTATTTTGGTACCGCCGCCGCCATGGAAGGAGGAGGAGGAAGATGGGTTTTGGGATATTGGAAAATGGGAATTTTGAAGGGCAAGGAGCAATATGAAAAGCAATTAAATTTAAATAAATATAAGTACTTTGGCCCCACCTTATGTGTCTTTATTTTCTGGTGTGTTATTTATTTACTGTTTAGTCGATGCCACCCGCGCGGGTGGCACCCATTTTCACTGTACACAAATCACTTCGCGACACGTGGCTATAATTCATTTCAGAATTTTTTATTTTTTCCCAGCCTTTTACTCCAAATTCCACCGTATTTCAGCATTTTTTTTTTTTAATTTACAGCTAACCATGGTTTACTCCATGCCCCAAATCTGAAAATTTCAAATCGCCCGCCCCGATTTTTACTGAACTGAAAAGTAGATTTGAAAATTTCCATTTCAGAATTGCAATAGATCTGAAACATCTCTCTGCGAAAAGAACTAAAAAGTAAATTCATCGTCTGATTTCCCGATTGAAGAATCTCGCCCGTTTCTAGCGGAGGGATTCGCCCGATTGAAGAAAGTTCATCCCCATTGTAGTCTTGTCACCCAATTCACAGGTAAATTTTAGATTTTTTTTTTCATTTACGTGTAACCATGGTTTGAACAATTGAATCCTTAGAAAAAATACTTCATCACGCGATTCAAGCATATCATCTCGCCCTAGCCCGATTCACAGCTAAAATTAGGGTTCGTGGCCGTGCTCGATAGATTCCGATTTGTTGAAATCTCCCTCCTTTGCTTTCTGAAAACGAATTTCCTTGTTTTACCTGTTTTATGTATAAATTTTGCGTTGTTTCTAATGGGAGTTCTTATATAAATTTACCCTAATGCAATTCAGCTGAAAACATTACTTCTTTTCTTTTGTTATGATTCCGTGAAGTTGGTGATTTTGCGCGAACCCTGTTTGTTATTTGTTTTGATCCCCATATGTGTATCGGAAGTACGTAGATTCTGTGGGAATGTGGTGTTGAAGGTTGTATAAGGAAGTGTAGATACTTAATACATCTCCCTCTGTGCACGTGTGTGTGTGTTAAGTTTGTGTCTAATATTTGACTTCTGCTATTTGGGTTTTCTTTGCCAATACATATTTTTGACAGAGATATACATTCTTCAGGCTGGGATTAGTTTGATTAGTGCTCATTCTTTTGTATGTACATTAATATTCTAGTCGTCTAAATCTATGCTACATGAAAATATTTTATTAACTACCTGTATTTGAGATATCTATCTTACCACCTAGCTTCAGTAGCAAAATTCTTATTCATTTATCCCTATTGGAAGAACAGGTGTTGACTTTTCTTAAGGTTTGGAATACTGTACATGCAAATCATTGTGCTTTTCTCTGCTATTCTCCAGAAATTCACCTTCTGGATTCTGATAGTAGAGTTCTTCAGTATTCTTGATATATTTACATCAATATTTTATTAAACTGGGATCTCCGCAAAAATAAGTTCAACACTGCGATTTTTTCTTGCTTGTTCTATTCATTGAATTTGGATTTGGGTATCGATGTTGCTTGAATAATAACATTCCAAATTCAAACTTTATTTTTTTGAAGGTTTGAAAATGTCACAGACTTCTACCACTAAGAAATTTGGTGGAAGACCAAGTAGACTGAAGTATGAAGATAAAATATGTGACCATTGTGGAATAAAACTTGCAGTTAAGATTGCTGGCTCCCGAAGTCCAAATTTTCAGAAACTCTATTACACTTGTGAGAAAGATGGTGGATTTATGAGTTGGGCTAATCCAATAAATGAAGACGAAGTAAGCATAAGGGAAGAAGTTAGCACAAGCGAGAAAACTATAGTGGATCGTGAGAGCTACAAAGATGTGAAAAAAAAAAAAAAAAAACTTGATAAGATTTTCGATTTATTACTTGTGTTATTTCTATTAGTTATTGTAATGCTTGTTATTATTGTAATGAAATAAAAGAGTTGGTATTTTTACTACTTGGACATGAATAACTATTTTGTGATATGAAAAAAAATGATTTTTGTTTTTATTGTTCCATTTATTTTTATTTTTGTTGTATTTATCTTTTCTCTTAACAAGTTGGTGTAAAATATCTTGTGTTATAAAAGAGCTTGTTGTCATTTGTTAACAATGTAGCATTCTTCATTTTTGCTCTTCATTTTTGCTCTTACCTCAACAGAGGCATAAATGTAGCATTTTTGTCATTTGCTAACAATGTAGAATTCTTCATTTGTTAACACATATCTACACATTCCCCTATTTTTTTGATCTTACCTCAACAGAGGCATAAATGGAAAGGAAAATTACATTCAAAGTGCACCTTAAACATCAAGTTGTAAAGCTATACACAAATATCATAACAATAATCTTATGTAGTCTTCTTTAAAATCATTGTTGTTCCGCAATAATGGTTCACAAAAAAGATGCCATACAATCAAAAGTCTATGCAAAATACGTAACTCCAAACAAAATCAATAAGATGAGACGGTGCATTTGCTAACATCCGATCACCATCATCTTCAATTATCGAAGGGTCCCTACAAAAAATAGATTAACATGGTAAAGATTATATCATTATTCAATATTAATTTAAAAAACAATAGATTTGGTGTGATGTACCTGTGATGAAAATGGATCCACTTGATAACCAAAAAGATTAAATGGACCTACATTGATGTTTCCACCTCCTCCCTACACATTAAAAAAAAGTATTAATTCTATTGATATTCTTGTAGAACAAAGTAATAAAAGCATTATTTGCCTCTTGATTTATGTTAGGCCAAAGCATCGGAGCCGGAGATGGATAGAGTGAAACATCATTTTGAGAAGATTGAGTCGGACCACCTAAATTAATGTTTCCACTTTCTCCCTACAAATTAAAATAAAATAAATAAATAAAAAGTAATAATTTTATTAATATTCTTGTAGAATAAATGAATTAAAAATTTACTTATCCCTTGATTTATGTTAGTCCAAAACATCGGAGCATGAGGTGGATATTGAGTCGGGCCACCTAAATTGATGTTTCCACTTCCTCCCTACAAACATATTGAAATAAAATAAATAAATTAGTAATATTCTTGTGGAACAAATAAAAAAAAAAAACATCATTTACCCCTTGATCAAAGAACACATCATTTACCCCTTGTGTTAAAATTCTTGTAATCTTGTAGAATAAAATAATAAAAATATCATTTACCTCTTGAGTCTTCTTTTTTGACATACTTGAATTTCCCACCTTTTCTTTGCCCCGTTTTTTTTTTCTTGCTCTTGTCGTCCCAATGACGTGTGATTTGAGCATTTGTAACTCCCCTTGATTTGGTAGGAGGTGGATTGCGGACACGAACATTATCTTCATCAACCAATTCATCACATGAATTATCCATGTCCAAATTCTTCAAAAGAGAAGATATTTCTTCATTTGCTTCTTCAAGGATTTCAGTAAACCTACTTCTCGTCTCCTGGTGAGATTTGCTACGATGAACCAATTCATAAGAGGTCCTCATTGCATGGTTCACAAACGTCAACTCAGAAACACCACCATTTCCATGATGAGTATATCCTCTTTCAAATTCTTTGCAAAACCTTTGTTCCGCTTTTCTTGACCAACGACTCATGATATATGGCTCGGGCAACACAATGATATTCATAGAAATGAAAACCTTTAGTGCATGTCTACATAGTATTCCCATTGTTTCAAACATATGACAGGAGCAATTCACTTCAATATCATTTTGCCGAAAAAACACTTGCCTAACTTTTGAGTCGTCGGTATGAGATCGTAAATGGAATCCAAGCCAACCATTTCCAATATCATTCTGAGCAATAATAGCAATATTCAAAGACTCGACAAATTCTCGCTCAAATAACTTATATATTGAGAAAGTATACACTTCAGCGGCGTGCGACAACAAGGGATTATTTTTAACAATTTGACCCGGCCTCCCATGGCTACAATGAGCATCGTCATCTCTCTCAGTAGCCCTCCATTTATTTTGAACTTTTTCATAGTTCAAAACAAATTGGTACAAAGTAAGAGTCTTATTACCCAAATCTTTCAAGACACGATTTGTTACCTCACTTCTTGAAGTGGCTAGAAGCCCTGCACAAAATTTGTCATTACTAAAAGCCGTGGCCCATCTCTTTCTCAGTTTGTACATACTCTTTAGCCATCTGTCATCATGAAGACTGTACTGCTCAATCATTCGCTTCCATGTAGCCTCAAATTCATCTATAGAATCACAATATGTCATGCATTTATGCCATAATTTTTTAAACTCCGAATTACCATTCAAACTTCCTAAATGTGATGGAGCATTTTGATTGATATGCCATTGACATAAACGATGATGCAAATGTGTGAACACTTTATCAATAGCATTCATCATGGCTTGACATTGATCAGAAAAGACAACTTGGGGCTGTTTTCCATTCATAGAAGTAAGAAATGTGGAAAATAACCACTCAAATGAACTTTCAGTTTCATCGGACAAAAAAGCCAGGCCAAACATCAAGTTTTTCTTATGGTGATTTATACCGACAAATGGAGCACAAATCAAATTGTACTTATTTGTTTTGTAAGTTGTATCAATCGATAGCACATCACAAAAAAAATCGACTGCACATCTATGATCCCTGAAGAAAAAGTTCATTATCCGATTATCATCATCCAACTGTACATTCCAAAAAAATTGATTTTCCACATTTGCTCTGTTTATAAAATATTGAAGTAAACTAGCAGCATCTCCATATTCAACCTTTGTTTGCCTCTTTAAACGGTTAAAATGATCATATGCATCTTTTACGGTAAAACCCAAATTATTTGCACCATGAGCCTCCTTTTCCATAAAACAAACGGCATTAGTAACACTAATTCCTGCATTGACCATAGCTTCTAGAGTAGATTTTTTTGCATGCGTGAGATTACGTGATGATCTCAACAAATGACTTTGATCA